TAGCACAGAATTCATCACGATCTCTCCTAAGAGGACTCCGCAACTCCCCAGGCAAAATTTATCCGCAGAAACGATGACATTAGTAACCTCGCGAGTTTAGAATCCCAGTCAGTGATGTTCCACGATTGGCATTTTCATCCCATTATTTTTTTCAATCATCCAATTATTTTTTCAGTCTTGAGCAGAAGAGTTGCAAGCAGCGTTAGATATTTTGGAGCTTTAAGTAAGGGACAGTGCTTCATTTATTTTGGGGGGAGGGAAAAAAGAGCTTGCTGTTGTGCAAACCTTTGTTATTTTTTGGGGGTTTTGGAATTTTTGCAGTTGCTAAAGGATTTGCTGAGTGCAGTTGAGGTTTCCTTTTCGGCTGCCTCCCATTGTGAAATGCACACATTTTGTGGCCGGGGAATTGTGCTTTCAGGTTTACATAACTCTGTCCAGCCATGATCTACAAGCCTCTCTCTGTCAGCTCCCCCCACCCCCCAGTCTGCAGTGTCAGAATTATAATACTCCTGTTGGGCTGTTGCCATGGTTACAGATGTGTGTTTGGAGTGCTCATTCTCAGGTTGCTTAAACATTGCCAGTTTGCAACTCCCATAAAACAAGTCAGAAATGCATCTGGATAGTCAGTCCAAAAAAAAAAAAAAAAGCTATAGAAAAGTTAAGATATTGTTTTAGTTATACCCCAGACTTGAGTAACTTCAGAATGGAAAGGTTGCTGTGTTTAATCTCAGAGCTCTCCAAACTTGGCAACTTTAAGACTTGTGGATTTCAACTCCCAGAATTCTCTGGCTGGAGAATTCTTGAAGTTGAAATCCACAAGTCTTCCAAGTTGCCAAGTTTGGAGACCCCTGGTTTATCTGAATGGAAAACTTGCTTTATCTGAAAATAAAGCTGTAGCTTACTTACAAAGCTGCGTTGAGGGTTACTCTTGTGCACCAAAGTAGGGTAGAAGATCCATTGCTTCTGATGAAAAGAAGAGTCATTTGCAGAGCTAACCTTCAGAGTGGTCACTGAATGGACTGTTGTAAGTCAAGGTCTACATGTGTACGGTTTCTGTCCTTGTTTGCCCTTAAGGCACCCTCCTGTAGGTGCCTCTGAGGGTAGTTTGGGGAGGTCATAAAAATGTGTTTGATAAATCAAACCAGTAAGTCTGGAGGGTGCTGCGGTTGAACAAGGCTGTCCTGGGCTCATTTGGTGCTTATTTGTGGAAGTGTTAGCACTGAACGACAGAGAATGAGGGGGCTGGATGGAGTCACTGAAGCCGTTGCCATGAGCTTAAATGGACTCCGGAAGACTGTGTCCCTTTATTTAGCACACAACACTTTGAAAGCTTTGGGGGAGATCTTTGTGGGTGGATTGAGGGGATAGTCTGGAAGTAGGAGAAGAAAAATGGGAAGAGCTACGTACGAGGTGAGCATGGCTGCCATGTCTCACTCAAGCAGAGGTGGCCACAGAGGGAAGGGTGGCACGGGAACTGCACCACGAAAGCTCTGTGCATTTTGAATCTGTAACATGTGGTGGCCGCAACCATCGTGCCGTCTTGATTACCTTCATTTGAATCTCCTTTGGATCTCGGTTTGAAGAGCCCTGAATTTAAACCCCCACAAAATAAGCGAGGAACGCATACGCTGGAACGTCTGTATTTGAAAGCAGAAAGGCTGAAGCCGAAGGATTTCACAGGCGATGAGCCCCAGTGGCGCAGTGGTGAGAGGGCAGTACTGCAGGCTCCTTCTGCTGACTGCCGGCTGTTTGGCAGTTCAAATCTCATCAGGCTCAAGGCTGACTCAGCCTTCCGTCCTTCTGAGGTCGGTAAAATGAGGGGCCAGATTGTTTGGGGCAAGAGGCTGACCCTGGAAACTGCTTGGAGAGGGATGGAAAGCCCTGTGAAATGGTATAGCATCCTAGTGGCATTGTGGCTAGAATGCAGTATTGCAGGCTAACTCTGCCCACAGCCAGGAGTTTGATCCTGACCAGCTCAAGGTTGGCTCAGCCTTCTGTCCTTCCCAGGTGGGTCAAATGAGAACCCAGACTGTTGGGAGCCAGAGGCTGACTCTGTAAACTGCTTAGAGGGGGCTGTAAAAGCACTGTGAAGCGGTACATAAATCTAAATGCGATTGCTATCAGGACCTCAAAGCAATTCTCCCTAGCAGCAGGAGTGGAGCATCCCAGAATTAATTCCAGAGAAGCTTCTCAGCCAGCATGGCTAGAGATTGTCCCAAGGAGAAAAAGGCCAGGAGATACGCAGAGGCTCATTCGATGCTCTCGTTCAGGAGTGTTTCAGCAGAGGCCTGACGCCGACCCATTTTTGCACCGCTCAGGATTGGAATGAACCAAAGCGTTGCCTCTTGGGTTGGACAAGGGAAGACTTGTGGCCTTGGCTGTCTGGCCAAATCTCAGGAACGGCCTTTAGGTTCCAACCCCCGACTTGGTTTCGACCGACTAGCCAAGCCAAAGTGGTCAAGTTAAGAATCCTACCAGCTTGTAGGTTTAATTACAGGGCAACCTGAAGATGGATATAGTGCCTGGGAGACTAGCGGGCAGTTGTGTGACAGCCCTGGAAGGGAAAGTAACAAAGGAAATGCGGAAAGCGTGGAAAGGCCTGGGTTCAGATTTCCACCCGGCCCTGCTGCCCTTCAGGGGAAGGCAACCTTCAAGGCTCAGCCAGGGCACAGGGGAACTTCCAAGGGAAGCTCAGAGGGAGGGAGACGTGTGGGAGGGGAATCTGTTTGCGGACGGGCTTATTTCTTCTACAGATAGTTCTTGAATTACTATCATTCTCTTAGTGGCCGTTGAAAGTTACAGCAGCGCTGAAAAACAGAGAGAGAAAGGGAGGGAGGGAGTCAGAGGTGGTATTCAACCGGTTCGAGCCAGTTCTGGAGAACCGGTAGCGGAAAATTTGAGTCATTAGGAGAACCGGCAAATACTACTTCTTGACTGGCCCCGCCAACCCCATCTCTTCTCTGCCTCCCCTTGAGTCCCAGCTGATCGGCTGGGTCTCCTTTGGTTGCCCTGCACAGGAGAACAGAGCTGGAAAGCAGGTTAGTGGGGTGAGGAGGGAAGGGGGATTTTGCAGTATCCTTCCCCTGCCACGCCCACCAAGCAACACCACACCCACCAAGCCACGCCCACAGAACCAGTAGTAAAAAAAATTGGATCCCACCACTGATGGGAATGAGGGAAGGAGAAGGAGCGAGAGATAATTCTTTATTAGCCGTGTGTGACTGGACACCCAAGGAATTTGTCTTTAATGCATAAGCTCTCAGTGTACGTAAGAGAAAAGATACATTCATCAAGAATTATAAGATACAACACTTAGTGATAATCATAGAATACTAAATAAAGCAATCAAATCATACTAGGAAATTAAATAAACAATATAAACCATAAAGATACAAGCAACAAGGCTACAGTCATAACTGAGAGGAGATAGGAAGGATGAGAAGAAGAATACAGTCTTAGTAAATAGTTTGACAGTGTTATGGGAATGAGTTGTTTAGCAGAGTGATGGCATTGGGGGAAAAACTGTCCTTGTGTCTCGTTGTTCCGGTGTGCCGGGCTCTATGGCGTCGTTTTGAGGTTAGGAGTTGAAACAGTTTATGTCCAGGATGTGAGGGGTCTGTAAATATTTTCACAGCCCTCTGACTTAGGACCATTTTTCACACTTAAGACCATTGCAGCGATCAAAAGCAAGGGTCTTCCGATTTGGCAAGTTTAAGACTTGTGGACTTCAACTCCCAGAATTCTCCAGCCACTCTGCTTGTTGAAGTCCATAAGTCATAAAGTGGCCAAGTTTGGAGACCCTTGCTTTTGAGAATAGTTGTTGCTGGGTGTTGGTGAACACTGGTGTGTCACCCAAACTGTGGCGTGTCAGTTTTGACCTGCATGTCCTAGGTTTGCAATCACTATTTTAGTAAATCAATGTGGGTTGTTATTCACATCATTTGCACCAATTCTGTAAATCTCGGGAGAAATGGGACAACAGCCCTACGGCTTCAGGATCCAGTAAAACACCATGAAGAGAGAACGTGCTTGCAAAACTAGATATATTCATGAAAGCAGAATTTAACTTGAACAATTAACATGGAACAAAATCGTATTAATAAAATAAATTGCTAGCAGAAAGGCCTATCCTTAGCTTCAGTTGAAGGCTAAAGGGAAATACGATTGTAGTTGACAAATATCTCAGTGGGTGAAATATGTTGTTGTGAAATTCTAAAGCGGGACAAGTTTCGGCAGGTTGAAAATAAAAGAAAGAAGATTTGGGCTGCATATGAGAAGGAGTTTTCTAAAGAAACGAGTGGTTGATTCAGTGGAACAGTCTGCCTGGTTTTGCCTTAGAGCAGGGGTCTCCAAAGTTGGCAATTTTGAAACTTGTGGACTTCAACTCCCAGAATTTCCCAGCCAGCGTGTCTTAAAGTTGCCACATTTGGAGATCCGTGCCCTAGAGATTTTCAAACATGGCTTGGATGATCTGTTGGGCAAAGTTTATTAGATTCCTACACCAATTGGGCTGGAATGGATGCCCAGTTCTTAACATTCTGTGATTTTTATGATGTGTGAATAGAATTTAATATTAAAAAAGAGTTTTTTTAAAAAAAAAACTTATAAGCCAAGCTCAAACAATATGCCGGAATAGAATAAAACCAAGTTGGGTCATTTTATGGTGTGGAAATTTGCTATTTCTTTTAGCATGGTGTATGAATTGGACCATCACCTGAAGCCATAACCAAGTTTCTCTCTGTAAATAAGAATGGCATATTTTTAACCAGGTTTTGGGTTAAGTTTTGATGTGTGAACCAATCCCTTTTTCTATCTGTCCCCATTGGTCATAAATCAACATCCTGTCAATTATCGAGTCAAGTGGATTCTGTTATTGTTTCAAAAGAGGATGGAAACCGTGTGAAGAATGAAATATATTTGGCTATAAAGCTTCCCACACCCTGATGGTTCCTTTCAGAGTTGCTTCAAACTGAAACCGCTTTCTCTGCTTCTCTTCCCAGATGAGAAACCCTTCGTAGTGGAGGACACATACTTACTCTGCCCGGCGCCTGTCTTGCAAGAAGTTGGCATGTAGGTTTATGAAAATGCGCACAAGAGTTGTTGGGGGTTTTTTGCTGTAATTTTCACTGGTGAATTTCCTTTTGCTTCTGATCTGTCCATGAGGATTTCAGTAATTTGGGGAGGGGGTGAAAGCAGCGGTTCTGAATAGCTCAGCTATCCAAGGTGAGCAAGAAGCAAAACAGAGGGTAGAACATGGTGATGGAGACCCCGATCCTTGGCCATTGTGGGAACGGCTTTGAGAGCAGCGATGAGCCCGCCATCGAGAAGATTGGCTCTTGCCTGCCATGGAGGGGCCCATTTCCATTGCTATTCTGGTCATTCGGCAAATCAAGGCGCCTTCTCCAGCTTGGTTGCCCTGTAGATATATGAGGGTAGACTTCCATTCTTCACAGCTAAACCCCAAATTATCTGAAGACCCCCTAGTTGAAGGTATCTGAGCAGAGGTGGGATTCAGCCGGTCCTGACCAGTTCTGGAGAACTGGTAGCAGACATTTTGAGTAGTTGGGAGAACCGGCCAGTACCACCTCTGACTGGCCCCGCCAATCCCATCTCTTCTCTGCCTCCCATTGAGTCCCAGCTGATCGGCTGGGTCTTCTTTGGTTGCCCCGCAAAAGGAGAACGGAGCGGGAAAGCAGGTCAGTGGGGTGGGGAGGGAAGGGGGATCTTGCAGCGACCTTCTCCTGCCCTGCCCGCAGAACCGGTAGAAAACTTTTTTTGAATCCCACCGCTGTAATCACTGAGCTCCACAATGCAAAGAAGGCGCTGTGTTTTCAAATCTCAGAATCTCAGACTCAGAAGAGAGCTGGGAGGGGCCTTGGAGGTCTTCTAGTCCAGCCCCCTGCTCGAGCAAATGGTTCGGACAAAGGGTGGCCCGATCTCTTCTTCAGAACCTCCTCCAGTGATGGAGCACTCGCAACTTCTGGTTGATTGTCCTCACTGTTTGCAAGTTTCTCCTCACAGTTCCCGGTTGCTTCTCCCTTGGATGACTCTCCATCCAACAAAAGACGGTTCCTTTGTCTTTTCCCACCCGCAACGAGTCATTTCTCCCCTCCTTCCTCGTTTTAGGGAAGCTGCCCTTCAAGTGAGCATGAACGATGGTCTCAGTTTCATCTCCAGCTCTGTCATCATCTCCAGCACACACTGCGTAAGTTGGCTCAGAATTCCACTCTTCTGCTTCTGGGGGGGGAAAAAACATCCCCGTGAGTTTGAATCGGAGGGTCACGGAGAGGCCACCCACACGAGGATTTCAGGTCTGGCTTCCCTTGAAAATCCTCTGATTAATGAGTCTTTAAGAAGAAGCTCTTTCCTCCTTTGCTAGCCTGGTGCTGTAGGAAAGGCAGGCGCCTCCTCTTTTGAAGGGAGAGTTTTGGTCACGTCCCTGCCGGAATTTCTCCAACGGAGAGAGAGCAAAATAAAGGCGCTCAGAACATGCAAAGAAAGAGAATGCAATGCCTTCTATTACAGATTAACAGATTAGCAGGGTTGGAAGGGACCTTGTAGGTCATCTAGTCTACTGGTTGCCAACCAGTGGGCCGGGGACCGTTGGTGGTCCGTGAGAAATTTTGCTGGTCCGCAGAGAAATGTTGCCCCCAAAGCAATTAAATCCAGGCTGTGTGGGACACACGGCCTGTGGGAACACAAGGTTTGCATCGCTTGCATTGCAAACAACAGGAGGTAGTGAGAGGAGGGGGGAAAAGGGAGAAGAAGGGACTGCATGCAAGGAAAGCAGCCAAAGTCTTTCTTTCTCTCCCCCAAACTCCGCCAGGAATGAATCTTTGGGACCCTGCAAGGCCTCCAGCTCCAAGAGGCTGCACCGGCAAAGACTCGTTTCTGGCGGAGTTTGGGGGGAGAGAAAGAAAGACTTCTGCGGCTTCTGCTGCTTTCCTTGCACGAAGCCAAAAGTCTCTCCCTCTCTCTCTCTCTCTCCCCCTGAGAACGGAGCTGCGATTCCAAATAAAGAACGATCAGTTGGTAAGAAAACAGAGCGGGGAATTTTCCTGCAGACTATTTTTGGAGATTTTCCCAGGGTCTCTGGTCCGCGGGATTTAGATTGATGAGTTTGGTGGTCCCTGAGGTCCAAAAGGTTGGTGACCCCTCCCAAGCAGGAGCCCCTACGCCATTTCCGACAGTCCGGTCTCTTCTTGAAAGCCTCCAGGGATGAAGCTCCCACAACTTCTGAAGTTTGCCTTCAGATCTACCTTCGAATGCAATTGCGTTTTTATCCTGTGGGTTGTGGAATAGTATCTGCATCACGAGTACTGTCTTTTTATTTCATTATACGAATATAATGCAGGCAGTCCTTGACATACAGCCAGCTCATTTAATGACCAAAGGAACAACGGCACTGGAAAAAAAAATCACTCATAACCGTTTTTCACGCTTGCAGCCATCCCCCACGGTCAAAACTCAGGTGCTCAGCCAGTGCCATTGTACCTCGGGTGGGAAGATCCCCAGAGTAGCTGTGCACTCCAGTGGCTACATTCAAAGTTTCTGGCATCAAAGGATGTGGAGACTATTGTGGCCCACCAACAGCCAGAGGAGTTGGGGGCAGATTCGGACAGTGAGGAGGTTGGGGAGGAACATGGGCCAGTCCTGGGGTATGGGGAAGGCTCTGACGAGGGCTCTGCATCGGAGGCAGAGATGGGGCCAGGTCCGTCCGACAGTTATCAGCTGCCTTTGGAATCAGACATCAGTGAGGCAGAAGAACAGCTGGAGCCTGTTCCCAGTGTGCACATGCACAGAGCTGCCAGGAGAAGGGAACAGTTAAGGAACAAGGGTCGACTCGGGAGTAAATCCATAGGTGGATGGAGAATGGCTCCTCCCATAGGGAATGAAAGGGGAGCAAAGGGGGAGTGGAGTTTGCAGGAGACAATTAGTTCAATTCATGAGGGTGAAGATCAGTTCCTGACTTCTTGGCAAGTCCTTGCTGCTACAGCGTGGCGTTTGGAAGGTATCGGCTTGGCAGCTCTCCAAGCCTGATAAAGGCCTGTCGTTGTGAAATCTCCTGAAAGACTGTTGGCCGGGATTTTGCTGGAGAGGAATTCACTGTAAACTAAATAAAAGCGGTTTTATCGGGACGAGGAGTCAGCTTCATGATCTTGGGAAGGTCTAGGTCAGAACAGAGACTTCCTGGAAATGTCCTATATAACTCATAGCCACGACCTCTGCCCTGACACTCCCTCGCACTGATGATGTTGCTTAGCTGGCTCGTGAAATGTCTGCAAGGCGATGACCAAGCTCAGAGAGTGCCAAGAACTCCATAACCCATGGGGATGGCCAACTGCGGTGCATCGTTTGGCCGTTGCCAAGGCGGAAAGCAGATCCTGTCTCTGCATAACCATCTCAGTGGGAAGCTGATGAAGAGGTGCACTCCAAGGTACATTCTCAATGGACTTCGCAAACTCTGCCCAGCCGGGACTCAAACGGAGCAGGAGAAAATATTTGTCCGTGTTTCGAGCCCTATGAGGGAGCCCAGCCTGGCACAACCAAAGCCAGGGCCCCATGGCTTTGCAAATAAGGCTCTTGAACCCTGACTTTCCCGGATAAAAACAAAAGGAAGTTTTGTCTGGCAAGGCCAGAAGAGAAGGAATGAGATGTCTGTCTCAACTGCAGTGGCCAAGGACAGGTTTATCTTGCAGTTTCAACTCTTGTATAAGATCCCACTGCTCACAATAGTTTGGAAACGTTCTATAACCTCTACAAAAGTCTTTGGCCTCCAATTCTTTCAGCTGGCTGAAAATTTTGGGCCCAATAAATTCCATTTCGTATGTAATTATTCCCCCTCCTCATTTATTTTCAGGTTTTTAACTGAAATAAGGAAACAGCTCTCAAGGGAATCCACGGGGTGGGATCATGCAGTCAAAACGTTGGCTGCAAGGATGCGACACATGAACGCCAAACCATGGTTTGATTGCCATCTCCTGGCCGCCATCTTGGGGGAGGGTGTGGTTTTTTTGACCTTGTGCTCATCCCGATGGCTTCGGTAGTTCAAAGAACTGATTTATGCTTCCTTTGTGAATAGAAGGGAGATGGGAAGAGCAACCTTTTAGAGACAAGAGCCTGGAACATCATTCCAGCTTGGGGGCCGCGCACGATCTGCACACCAAATCTCCGATTTCCGTCTCCCAGCCTCTCCCAGCAAATCATTTGTTCTGATTGGGTGCCGTCCTCTTTCCTTCAGTTCCTTGAAATATGAAATTAACCAGCCTGGCTTTGGGTGAATGGAGAGAAGCCTTGGGGAAGTGGGCACAGCCTTGGAACTCCAAGGACCGGGTGGGGGGTTAAGACAATTCCCCCCTTAAATCTTATCAACCATTTTCCTTTCAAGAGAAACGTCCACGTGGAATGTGAGCATCTTCTCAAGAACTGCTTTTCATCTGGGCCTCGGCAGGGAGAGGAAAAACAGGCTCCCTCCTCCTCCTCCTCTTCCTCCTCCTCCTCTTCCTCCCAAGGGCCACCCAGCATTTCTGTTTTACTGAGCTGATTCTTTCTTCAGCGAGGGGATCTCAGAAGGAGGACTTTTGGGTGACTTTAGAACTTGCAAATTATCCAACTTGGCCTCCAGACTAGAAGAGGTGAAACGTTTCACACTCTTTGGCCAAACCCGATGTGCACGCTATGGCTGCTTCTGTTCTCCATGTTATTTGTCCTGTGTTGAGTCCCTCTGAACTCTATTGCTGACTGTCTCTATTTGCTTTAAGATATCAGGCTCTGTTTTCAACACATAGCAAACTCCACTGATCACCTCTCTCTGCCTTGCCCTAACAGAGGGGCCTTCAAAGTTGACAGCTTTAAGACTTATGGACTTCCACTCCCAGAATTCCTCCTCCAGTCATGTTAGCCCAGGAATTCTGGGAGTTGAAGCCCACAAGTCTTAAAGCTGTCAAGTTTGAAGGCCCTTGCGCTAACACAATAACAGTATAATAGAGTTGGAAGGGGTCTTCTAGTCCAACCCCACTGCTCAAGGAGGAGACCCTCCACCGGGAGTGTCCAACTTTTGGCAACGTTAAAAGTTGTGCACTTCAACTCCTAAATGATTGGTTGGCTGGCTGGCTGACTGACTGAGGAATTAAGGGAGTTGAAGTCTACAAGTCATAAAGTTGCTGAGGTTGGACTACTTCTGCCCTACACCTTTCTGGACAATCGGCTGTCCAGGCTCTTCTTAAAATCCTCCAGCGATGGAGCTTCCACAGATTCCAAAGGCAAGCCATTCCACCGATTAATTGTTGACTTTAAGCCAATTGTTGACTCCGAACTTGGCCACTTTAAGACTTGTGGACTTCAACTCCCGGAGTTCCTCAGCCAGCAAAGCGGAGAGTTGAAGTCCACAAGTCTTAAAAGTGGCCAAGGTTGGAGATCCCTGGTTTAAACCAGAATGGAAAGCTGGAAGCTGAAACATGTCACAGAAACCGAGCTGGGTTCTGCTTCAGGGCACCTGCCACAGAGAAGGTCTCTCCCAAAGCCAGAGGCCTCTTCGCCAAGGATGGAAAATGACGCTAAGACCTTGAGGCCTCACCATTGGCCAGGGATTTTGCTGTGAGCTAGCCCACCTGTCCGGTTCGAGCAGGGCTGGGCTTCATTACATGCTGGAGACCGAACCATTTCGTGGAATGTCCCCTGGTGTGGGCTTTCAAATCGGCTGCCTCTCCTCTCCTGGAGATCTTTGGCTTCAAGCGACACAGGAAAGAACGCGGAAAGTGGACAGTTCCCTGAGCTGCCCAAAGCGATCCTTCAGGGACTTCAGTGGATTTCTTTCCTCCCCCCGATCTCCTTCATCCGATGGTGCCAGAGGATACTTGGAGCCGAAGGCAACTGGCAAAGTCCTGAAAATCTTTTGGCTTCTGCCGAGGTTTCTGTTTATTTAGGCCCAGGATTGTTTACATATGAAGGGAATATCCAACATGCAAGGATAAATGCTCTACAACCTGCTGCAAGAAATTAAGAATATATGTTCTGAAATAGAACCTCTCGCCTGGAGCCATTTCATCCTAAGATCTTCTTACACGGGAATCGGCGTTGGAGACTAAAGATCCACAACCTGCCTCACCCCAAAACCTTGAAGGTTGGACTCTGTCCTCTCAGGATGGGGGATGAATCACATCCATAAACTGATATCATGTGCCGGGATCCAAACGCCATCCAAAC